GAAGGGCGCGAGGGCGTCGCTCGGGTCTCGGCCCTCGCATCCTTCAGGAGCGTCTTCAGCACGCTCCTGCCTCACGCATCTTGGCTAAATGCTTACTACCCTGGTTTTCTGAGGAAATGAGGCTTCGTCATCACGCCCTGTGGGTTCTCTTGTGTAATAACTTGCAGCTATTTGGCCGGTTTCAAATGAGTTTGAGCAGAAGTGTGTGGAGCACGCCATATGCTTAACGCTATATAAATAACACTATACGTGTTTTTGTGTGTTTTCTGATCAGCGCATCTTGGCTAAATGCTTACTACCCTGGTTTTCTGAGGAAATGAGGCTTCGTCATCACGCCCTGTGGGTTCTCTTGTGTAATAACTTGCAGCTATTTGGCCGGTTTCAAATGAGTTTGAGCAGAAGTGTGTGGAGCACGCCATATGCTTAACGCTATATAAATAACACTATACGTGTTTTTGTGTGTTTTCTGATCAGGCAGCACACACAAATGCAGATCAGGAGGAAGTACAATGACATAGTTGGCACCAGAAAAAGTGCACTAAGATGACACGCAGACTGCCATACCGTAATTTTTGTCGTTCTCGGAGAAATCCACTGGGCATGCTTTGAAAATAACTGACAATACCAAATTGAAAGTTTACCAATCTCATTACTGATCCCAAAGTGAGAGACCTGTTTTAAAACTGCTTTCTTTAACAGTACAAGAACAATTTTCTTCCTGTATTGCTCTTCAGCTTGACTTTTTTCGGATTGTGTCATACGGTTTTAGTGCAACTCAAATCTTAAATGAAAGTAGCTTATTTCCTTGCTAACACCTTTTAATTTCTCCTTCCATCTCTCTTACTACTTAACTGTACATGTTTTTTAGCATTGCACAGTACCGATAACATACGTCCTGCACTAAACTCTCTGGTTCTACTGAACTATATTCAGGAACCAGGTAATAAGGAAGGCAGCATCAAAGTACATTAATACTCTCCAAATTCAAGCTTGCCTTCTGTGGCAGCGTAAACTGTTTCAGCTGGGCACTTAGGGCAAGCCCAGACACCAGCAGCTAGTATGAGTCATGTGTCTCCTTGCTGCCTAGCCTCGAGATAGTAGGTGTGAATGCCAGTGATTCAGGTGTAGCAAAATGCTTTCTTGGATCCACGAGCAACCAGGTGTAAGTTGTTTCTGCTGGAGATAATTTAGCCCTTTCAGCCTTCAAGCTTACTACCACGCTTCAGGCAAAGCTCAGTCGAGCTGAAGACTCTAGCTCTCTGTGTCAAGCTTTATTGTGAGAAGGTTTACAAGGTTAAATACAGCTATAGAGTTTAATAACAGAGATGGAGGGAGGCAGTAAGAGGTGTTGGCAAAAGAGAAAAATTGTTTTCCGCGGAGACTCGAATGAGACGGAGAATGGATGAGGCAGAGCAATAGAAGAACGCCACAGCAGATGGCAGGAGCACCACCCGGACACTATCAGGAGTAGGGAGACTGTATGAAGGAGAAAGACGGGAGTAGACACACAGGCAGACCACTGCAGGAGAGGAATGAGGCGAGGTCACCTGCAGACGTTTGATGAGATAGTTCCGCTTTGAACGTTAAAAGCGGCACACACACACAAAAAAGTCATACCCTGGAGACCACTGGGGAGAGAGCCTCTTCTGAACGCATTCTCACCTGCCACGGTGGAAGTCAGTCGTGGCAGAGGAACTGATGAAGTCTTTGCTCCGCAAACATGTCTTCCTCAGCCTCACGGGGTCTGTGTGTTCAGTTAAGCTCCTTAACATTTCCAAATTAGAATCTCAGCCTGTCGGGAAGAAACTGTGTCCCCTGTGGGGTTTTTTTTAGAACTGAGCACAGGAACATGCCCGTCCTGACTGACTAGGCCCAACTATAACATAAGTTGCAAAGATAATGCGCTAATCTAAATAATTTCCACAGAGTCCTTATCCTGTATAAACAGAGTGCACGGTATTACAAGCTGCTACACAGTTTAATGGCATGTGATAACATCTACTATAATGCTGAGAAGTAGTGATTGCTTAATTAGAGGCTGCCTAAAGGTTTGTGATAAGTGCACGTGTGTGTCATTTTAATTTTTCTGCTTCCTGACTGTGAACTGTTTATCTTTGAACCCGAAAATTCCCTTGACCGTTTGTAAATGTTTTGAAGAGAAAAAGATAAGAATTTTGTGTTTCTATAAACAGAACTTTGGAAATTATATACACATCTATTCATTAAGCCTTATACCTTCTTACGAGAAAAAGGTAAAATTCTCTATAATCAGGTGAAGAAACTGGCCCCAGGAGGTTAAATAAATTGCCTGAGGTCACTGACGGAGTTGGGGCAGAGTCAGAAATGGAATTACAGCTCCAGAGCTCCTGACTCCCTCATGGTGCACTTAAATCATACCCGTTATTCAAGAATTTGCATGGCTAACAAGCCAGTTACATTTCAGATATCTTTCTTCCTGTCCCGTTGACTCCCCTAAGACAACGAAGCAGTAAAACATTAATAGGGGGGCACCATGCACTGAATAAATTAGTGAAAGCTGCAGTGAGAGATAAAACTGAGATTCCTAAGAACTAAATCCAGTCAGTGTAACAGCAAATAAGTGGAGGAATGTAGGTATTTTTAAAGGAGGAGGAGAGATAAAGAGATCAAGAGGACTGCAAGGCTGGGAATGGACAACTTCAAAGGTTAAGTGAGGAAACTGAACTTTTAAGCACCGGTGCCAAATAAGTCCCTGTGGTGTCAAAACCCTCCAAGATGGCAAAGAGGTGCTTATTCATGAGTACACCAAAATAGTGAAATATAACATGTGATAGCTTATCATGTCATCAGCCAAGCGAGGACAAAAACCCAGCAACTGAGACGTGTTAGCGTGGGATTTAACCCACCAAAGTTTAATGGTTTGAAAACCGCCCAGTGTGAAGCACCTAGTTGTTGCTATTCCTCCTCAGTCACTGCAGGGGGAGCCAACATGACCAGCCTCATTTAGATGCCTGGTTTTCAGATAGCTAAAGAGAAAAGAGGTAATTCCCACCCGTGGGCTTTATCCGCTGTATTTAAGGACAACTTTTAAATCAGGTTTCTTAGAAAAGAAATCTTCAGCCTGAGGAGCCTGTAGTAGTTACGGAGTTGCGGAGTTGTAGAGAAACACAGAGGTAAAGGTCTGAAAGGACCCTCAAAAGGTCATGCAGAAAATTGTACCTCAATTTCTTTGTAGGAAATTAAACTGATAAACAC